GCTTCAGAAAGGTTTACATCAAAATCTTAGATTGGTAGTTTGAATGGTAAGATAGATAATGGTAGATTCAATGTATTTGTAGAGATTTGTAGGATTAGTTGCTTGAAGATAGGGGTTCTCTGTAGGACAAGCTGGAGAACTTCTCGACTTTGAACACCCTGAACACACATTAGTTTATAAAGATCCACAGATCTTACAAAGTGGATTCTTTTAAGAAAAAACTAAGTAACCTTGAGGATGACCATTCTACTGAAGTTAATAGGCTACGAAGACAGTTGGAAAATGAGGAATTTGCTAAATCAAGCCTGGAGAGGAGATTCAAATCTTTAGAGGATGAGCTGTCTAGTAAGCAGACTGAAGTTTCTGGATTAAAGAATTCTGAGCAGTAGAGCAGGACTAGAGGCAAACTATCAGAATACAACTACACAATTGGAAACTGCTAAAACAAGGATAACTGAGCTGGAGAAGACTGAGTCCCAGTCCACGGAGATGGAGAAGATGAAGGAGAAACTAAATTGGGAGGAAACTGAGAGAGGGAAACTCCATAATCTAGTCCAAGAACTCAAGGGAAATATTTGTGTGTTCTGTCGAGTGAGGCCTCTGCTCGGAGATGAAATTCAGAAGTATGGTAGTATTCAGCAACTAGTTATCAGTAATGAGAGCTCCCTGGAGCTAGTGAAGAATACTGGAGAGAAGGATGATATTGCCGAGAGGCCTTTATAAAAATATGAAGTATGAGTTTGAGTTTGACCGTGTGTTTGATCAGTCAGCTACTCTGGATTCAGTTTTCCAGGAGATCAGTCAACTTGTACAGTCAACACTTGACGGTTACAATGTGTGGAGGGAGGAGATGTAGAGGATTTAGAGCAGGCTGGTATGATCCCCAAGACGATCAAACAGATATTCGAGGTTACAGGGAGATTGAAAGAGAAAGGTTGGGAGTATACATTCCAGGCGTCCTTCTTTGAGATCTACAACGAGGAGATCAGGGACCTCCTTGCCACCAAGAAGAATCTCAAGTATGAAATCAAGATGACCGACTCCAAGGGGGCAGATATGTTCGTCACCAACCTCAAGATTGAGACTGTCACCTCGGAGTTGATGATTTACAATCTGATGAGGAGAGCTAGGAAACAAAGAGCAGTAGCAGAAACACTGTGCAATGAGAGATCATCAAGATCACATTCAATATTTATGCTCAGGATAACTGGAACTAACAGTGTGACTACTGAATCCTGCTGTGGGATCCTAAACCTGGTATATCTAGCAGGATCAGAGAGAATCAAGGAGTCTGGTAGCGAAGGCCAAAGGTTAACAGGAGCGAAGGCAATCAATAAATCACTTTCCAATCTGGGAAATGTTATTATGGCGTTAGCACAGAAGGAACCCCATGTACCGTATAGGAACTCTAAGCTGACCCACCTGCTGCAGAACTGCCTGGATGGGAACAGTAAGACCTTGATGTTTGTTAACTTGAACCCTAAGGAGAACAGCTTTAACGAAACATTTATTGTATCTGACTCGGAAATTTCTGTAAATTATGACCACGTGTGAGTTTTATGCTAAATATATAATAATCTAAGTTATTTCCAGGCATTCTTTTTATGTTACAATCACTTCTTTAATTATGGAGCATGAGCCGAAAAATCGATTTCCCAGATTTTTCAAATTTTGATTTTTTACATATATTCATTTGTTCATATATAACCAAAAAATTCACAAATTTTTGTACATTTTATGTAAGTTATATGTTGCAGCCAAAATTTTGGATCTTCAAAGTGTTTTGTGAGATAACATGAATATTATATTGAAATTTCGCAAAATGGATGTCTTGTGATTTGTTTTGATAAAAAAAGACAGATCTATTTTATTTATCTTAAATCCATCAAGGTGGGGGGGAGGGGATACTTTAAAGGTATACTATGAACATATACTAAGTCAACATTACATTATGATATTTTTTGGTCTTCATTGATTATATTTTTTCATTTAGGGGGCAGGCGAAGAACTTGTTTTGTGCCTGGATGCCGTCCACCCCCTGGGACATCCAGATTTTAATTTTCAAAGAACAAAAAGAAGCAGGAATTGTGGGTGAATTCTTTGAAAATTGACGACTCTAATGATTTTAAGCCAAATTTGAGCACTTTTTCGAAACTTCCAGAAATCTCCCCTGCAGGGAAATTTCTCTTATCCTCTGCAATCCCATCAATAACTGTAAACGAACCAAGATCTCCATTATCAACCTTTTTGTTTTATGTTTTAATAAATAGTTAAAAATATTTTTGTATTTTTATTATTGTTTTTTGTTGTTGTTGTTGTTGTGTATGACAACCTAACCTAACCTAACCCACCTAAACTTCGTCACTTTTAAAACACTTGCCTTAGAGGGCGCTTTGCGCCCATCTTCTAAATTAATTGTGAACATGTTCTCTTTCTGTACATCGTAAAACAAAACAAAAATAATTCGCGGATTTTCACAAAAAATTTCGTGGATTTTCAAAATTTTAAAAAATTTAATGACAATCGAATTTTGATGGAGACAAATATTTAAAATTTTAATCATTCATAAACCTTCCCTGGAGTCCCTAGATGTCCCACAAAAAATTTGGGCTTGATCGGTTCAGCTGTTTTGACGTTTATTGGATACAAACAGACAAACAGACAAGCCAAATTTGTATATAGAAGGTAATCCAAATGAGTTTTTGTAAAATTCGTTTAAAGTATGAGTGTTTCAAAAAGTTAGAAGTCTAAATATTTTTAAAAATTAGTTGGCTTTAGAGATTAAACAGTAAACCTTTAATAACCCTAGAAATATTTACTTTAATGCTACTTAGAGGGCTGTGGCCTGGACGTCCCCCCCTCCCTCAGACTATTTAGTATACATAGATATACAGTGAAAAAAATCAAGCCACCAAACGACAGTAAAAGTACTCTATATAATTTTGAGTTGTAAATATTTTTTACGTATTCCTACAAAGACGACATTTATCTCCACCGAATCTTGGAAATCATACAAACTAATTAGAGGACATGTCGTCTTTCTTTTTTCATTTGACACATATGACGTTGTGCGCAGTTGGTCGATTTTTCTGTTGCCATCTATTGTACTTGACAACCTATTTGATGAAAGGTAAAAGTATTTGTTCCGCCTTCAGATAGTTACATTTAAAGTGTTTTAGGTTATCATAAAAGTATCATCCTTTGTGGGTAACCCTGTATGTATATTCTAACTGTTTATATACAGTGCATGGTTTCAAGCAGTCCTCCTGTGCAACAGTTTAAATGACCTTACCCTTCCACCGGGATAAATATTTTTCAACGAAAAAAAAAATTCTTGAAGTTTTAAAAATTTAATTTGACTTTATCAATGTTAACATTTTTAAAAGTTGGTATATCTACCCTTGGGCCCTGATGCGGCCAGTTTCGCAGAATTGGATTCAGGAGCCCGTTTTTCGGCCTTGTCTCAGAGTTTGGCCCAGTTTTTATCCTTGTCTTACAACTCCGTGACTAGGATTTCCTATATCATTAAAGGAAATGTTGTCGTAATTTTGAGTGGCCCTCTATTTATAGAGTGGCTAACCCGATTCACAAAGGTACCTAAAAACTATTTCTGTAAATTAATAAGTCCGTCAAAAGTTTAAAGGGTAATGTTGAAATCGAACACGCCATTCAAAAAAATGGAGGCCCCCATGAAATTACGCCTTCAGTCCCGGAATAGAAGGTTTTTATAAAAGTATTTTAGCAGAGAGGTGAACACGAATTATCAGTAATTGATGAATCTAGATTTTTTAGAAACGGATTTCATAAGTCATCGCAATTTAGAAACTACTTTTTTCTGAATATCGTCCAATCCTGTAATTACATCTCTGGTAATTCTACAGAAACTTATGTTTGCAAATGTATTTTTTTTGCACTGATATTTGCACCAAATTTTGAATTTTGCATTGCTAAAACAAGATTTATGCGAACTTAAAGGCTACACGGATTTAAGTTTAAGTTACTTGTTAACTTTTAGGAACTAAGTAATCCTTCATACTTTATCCTTTTCTTCTACAGAGAACAGGTATAAATAGAGTGGAATTAACTATAAAAAATGTTAAATAGCCATTTTGTATACTATCTGGACACTGTATTTTTTGCAACCCTTGAAGGCTAAAAATATACCAATACCTGCTCTCTAATTCTCTGTGAGATGGGGGGGGGGGGGGGTTGGCAAATCTTACAAAACTGTCTTCTAAGCCCCGCATAAAGTGGTAAGAATCCTAAATAAAAACAATACCGTTTCAATTAAACTAAAAAATGGAAAAAATTTTAAGCAATTTATGACCATGAGAGAATAGAGACGTGAACATTCGACTATTTTTAAATTCGTTTGTTCAATCAATTAGTCTGATTTGCAATAACTATTTATAACACTGTTATTTTGGTTTGCAGTGTTATAAACTTTTTGGACAGAAATTTTCTCTTTATCGAGAACCTTCGAGATACAGAGAAAATTTATGTTAAACAACTTTATAGCACGTCGTCCCAAAACAATAGTGTTATAGGTAATTTTATGAAACGTTTGTGTACTAGTCTTATTTTAATGGCTAGTTCTTGATCGAATAATCTTTGAAACAAAGCAGAAGTCAAAATATAAAGTTGATTTCAATTTTATTTTTATTTTACTTTAAAAAAAATATTTTGAAATATCCTAATTTTTTTGGAGAAAATCCGGGAACCAATCAAAACTTTATAGCACACGTGCTACATTGTACAGCAAATTTAACTTTATAGCACGATTACTTTATATCACGTTCATTATGAAATTCACGATGAAGTGAGTAAGAATGATTAAGTACACAATAGTTTCATAAAATGAAATAAAACATTTTATTTTGAAACAAACGTGAAAAACACATTTTAGCTTTTTTCTAATTCTGTAAAATCTTACATTTTTTCTTCTGACCAATGAAAATGCTTAATTAAACGACGATGAAACTTACATTGTTTTCTGAAATATTTTGAATATTCTTGGCAAAGAGAAAACTATTCAAATCCAACCATCATTTTAAATTTCTGAACATAAAAAAATTACAAAAAAAATAGAAAAAAACTTAGCTCTATATTTCACGCCAAACTTAAGTTAAGCATTTTTGGAATTTATCGGTAAAATCCGTTGTTTTAGAACTAACATTTACTTACGTATATAGAACAACATTTAGCCTATTCCAGCAAAATGGGAAAATCGTTTCGCGAAAACTTTGCTTTTTTCGAGACCATTTCTTTTCACCAAAACTTTCACATTTTTTTATTATTCAGGTCGTAGAAAAACAAATGCTGAAATGCGAAATTTCGAAAAATCGCGTTTTCCAAGCAATTTCACATTTTTTGATACGCGAAAATTTCTCATTTTTTCTTGAAAGTATCGCAATATTTTTCCTCACGAAATGCCGTCTGGTTTCACCTCATTTTGAAAAATTTATTTTCGCGAAATAATGCGATATTTCCCGAAAAAGTTTGAGAAATACGAAAGAAAATTTGCGCGAAATTTCACTTTTTTTCGCGAAAGTTTTTGTTCGCTGGAAACCCTAATTGGACTTGATAGACACTCACTCTGAAAAAAAACAATTTTCCAAGATTTTACAATTCCAGGATAGTTGGATAGATATATAGTCACGTGAGGCCCAACAGAAAAAGTTTAGAAAATAGTGAATTGTGGCATTTTCACCAATTTTTTTAAACATTTCTAGTGTTTTGTATATTGTAAGTTTCCCCCCTTGGTCGGAGATATTGGTATTTCGATACCCACAACCATTATCCAATACTACCACAGATTCTACTGGGTGTCCCAACTCCCAATACAAATAAAAAGGGATTGAATCTTTTCTACAGAGTTTGAATTTCTAATCCATGTCGTAAACCTGAAATATTTTAAACTATGAATTCTTTCAGATCAAATATAAAAGGTTTACAGCGTCAGGTTGGAAAGATAAAGGGATTAGAAAATTTGAGTTTGTGGCGATGAATTCCTTTGAGTGAGAGGATCGTTAATATTTTTTATTGTTGATCCCTGCCAAGCCGTTCCTTCCCAACGGAAGTATGATGTACTTAGGAGAACGATAGTTTCGCCGTGAGATGTCTCACGTTATCTAATAGATAGATTATTAAGACGCACATATGGTATAAAACGTCATTTGTCGACCATTGTTGAGAAGAAACGTAATCAAGAAGTTTAAAATTTGTTTCTTTTACGTTTTTTGCTGTCCCTTTTCATTGTTTCTTTTGCAGAAATATTACAAATAAAACAATCTTTTTCCGTTAAGATGAAATACACTCGATTATAAAGAACTAACTTTTTTTATCATGACATAAGGTATTCAGTGATGATTCTTAACATTGAAAATCTCTAAAAGTTGTAACTCAATTTTTTGTTTATTGGTACACCCTATCCCTGGGAATACATGCATAATAAATCCAAATATTGTATGTTTATTGATAAACCCTGTACCTGGGAATACATGCATAATAAATCCAAACTTCTCCCACGCATATTTACCAACTACAAACTAAGAGCAAATATTTTCGCAGATTTGAAAAAATCAGAGCATAACTATCTATCTGTTGCAAAAACTGTTTAGAAAACATTTTTCACTAAAAGATGGACCTAAAACTTTAAAATCAAAAACAGAATGAGACAAATTTTATTCTTATTAAATATATTTAAGATTTAATTAATTAAAAAGTTTTAGATTATCTCAAATATTTTAATTGAATTTTACCTTTACTCCCTAATTGCAAACCTAATTTTTAATATCAAAGTTTAAGTTGAAAAAATGAAAATTATTTTACAAGATTTTAGAAAAATGAGAAATTTAAAATTTTTTAATGAACCAAACTGTGGCTAAAGAAATTGAGTCTTTGCAACAAATATATCTACAACCAAATTATGTAAACCTTAGATATTTCAAACTTTGATTGTTTGATATAACAGAAGTCATAGTTTGAAATATCTAAGGTCTACAACATTTTGTTGTTAAGATATAGGGATTTAAAAACCAGAGTTTGTGGCTCAATTCCTTTCATGACTCAATTCCTTTCATAAATAGCGAGACTTGGGTAAACCGTATAGATGTAGTTCAACCTCTTCTCTTTAGATTTAACTGGCGCCCTAAAGTGGTTAAACTATGAATGCTCGGTTCATCTGCTTCTCAATATTCATTAAATCTGGCCCCGGCCCCACAGGCAGCTGTAGTACATTTGAATTTCCGAGCTGGGTCAACCTTTCTGGTCCCAGTTTGTACTGTATCGCCCGGACATTGGGTAAATAAAGTAGACACTCAATAGGACTAGCCGGTGCAACAAGGTTGACGTGGTCAGACTTTAGGATGAATTTACTTTTACTAAAGGGTCAGAGGTGCGTGGCCCTGATGTGAAAAAGTTTATCAAAAATATTTCCTCATAGTGTCGAGAGTGTTGCTGTTCCAAGAATTGTTAATGCTGACATTTTTGTGAGAAATTTTGTTGAATTGTTTAAATATTTCCTAGTATCCATGTCTATGGAAGCATCCAGATAAAGGATTTATCAGAAGAATATCGGTTTCAAGGAATTAGAAGTTTCAGGAAGAGAACTTAGTTTCATCACAAAAATAAGATTTTAATTACATTATTAATAATATATATTATTTCAAGAAAACATTTATTTGGGATAATGCTAAATAAATCACGTCCAAAATCTATAATAAAATCAAAATTATTCTATTTTTTCATCTAATTTCAGAAGATTTTCTATCCATGGATTTTTTAAAAAGATTTTTTATTGTTGGAATTTTGTCAAAAATTTAAAATCAAGTTTTTAGATACCTCTTATAAACCTCTTTTCGACTCAGAAATCATTGGTTACCAGTACCACTTGCATCAACTTGCATAACGCGATGATATTTATTTCTAAAAGTTTTTTATTCAAGGCTTTTGCAGAAATATTTCTGGTTTTACTAAGATTTCTTTCATTATCATTTATTTGTTTTTTCAATTCCTGTAATTCTTGACATGTTTGTTCTTCAATTCCTAGGATTTTTCAATCTATTTGTTCTTTAACTCCTGTAATTCTTGATATGTTTGTTCTTTAATTTCTGGGATTCTTAAGTTGTGTATTCTTCAATTCCTAGAATTCTTGAGTTGTTTGTTTTTCAATTCCTAGAATTTTTGAGTTGTAAGATTTCTTGCATTATCATTTATTTGTTCTTCAATCCCTGTGATTTTTGATCTATTTGCTCTTCAATTCCAAAAATTCTTGAGTTGTTTATTATTCAATTTCTGGGATTCTTGAGTTGTGTGTTCTTTGATTTCTGGGATTCTTGAGTTTTGTGTTCTTCAATTTCTGGGATTCTTGAGTTGTGTGTTTTTTAATTACTGGAATTCTTGAGTTGCTTGTTCTTTAACTCCGGAAAATCTTGAGTTGCTTGTTCTTTAACTCCCCGGATTTTTCTAGTTGTTTGTTCTATATCTCCTGGTTTTGCTTGAGTTGTTTGTTCTTCGGTTGGTGAGATAACCTAATTCCTGAAATACTTGAACTTGGTATTTCCCTGCCTGAAGTTTAGTCCGGAAGTGCTCTTCTAAAACCGGAACTACGGTCTATATACATTATATATTATCTACAGGCTTACCCTACCCACAAAAGAAAGAAATTCAGAGACGATTTAGTCAAACTTTAGAGACGATTGTACATAATTTAGAGACGATTGTATATAATTTAGAGACGATTGTACATAATTTAGAGACGATTGTACATAATTTAGAGACGATTGTACATAATTTAGAGACGATTGTACATAATTTAGTCAAACTTTAGAGACGATTATACATAATTTAGTCAAGCTTTAGAGACGATTGTACATAATTTAGTCAAACTTAAGAGACGATTGTACATAATTTAGTCAAACTTTAGAGAAGAATGTACATAATTTAATTAAACTTTAGAGACGGTTGTACATAATTTAGTCAAACTTTAGAGACAATTGTACATAATTTAGTCAAGCTTTAGAGACAATTGTACATAATTTAGTCAAACTTTAGAGATGATTGTACATAATTTAGTCAAACTTTAGAGACAATTGTACATAATTTAGTCAAGCTTTAGAGACAATTATAATTTAGTCAAACTTTAGCGATGATTGTACATAATTTAGTCAAACTTTAGAGAGGATTGTACATAATTTAGTCAAACTTTAGAGATGATTGTAACATAATTTAGTCAGTTTAGTCTACGACATTGGGTTGTAAAGATGTAGGGATTAGAAAATAAGGGTTTATGGCAAAGACTCTATTCCCGTAGAAAAATTCTTTTAACGTAATTAAAATTTGTTTCTTAAGATTTTAATTAAGATCCGCTCAAATCCTTGAATATGATAAAATATGAATGTCCACGCATATTGCGTAATTCTATCAAAAAAACCTACGCCTAATTATCTCCGAGAAAAATCTTTATATTAAATAATTTATTGTACGCTTAAAAGAATTTTGCCCAATGTAAAAATATACCGTGTAAGCAAAAAAAAACGTTGGTTTTTCCTAATATTCCTTAAACCCTTCAGGAATATAAAAACACGAAAACTCTTAATGCTGTTATTTTACTGTTTTAATTGTCATAGATTTATTTAGTTAAACATGGAGTATGTATAGATTACAGAGGATACACTTATAGATTTAACACAATTTCAGATGATTTCTTGACTTTCTCTAGCAGTTGATACTGTAGGCAACAGATTTGTCCTGTTACAAGATTACCGTAAGTCATTAAGTAAAGAAACTAAATACGGTTTCAAACTCAAATTCTTTGATTTGAATAGTTTTGCTACAGTGGTAGGCTATTATGTAAATTCAATAAAGACGACTTTTTAGTAAAGTTTTATTGTTAACAAGCTTGTCTCGAGTTAAAAGTTTATAAGTAATCTAAGAGAAGATTTCTTGGCATTTATCTTGACTTCCATATTTATATGTATCCATGCTGTTTAACACCTTGATGAAAATCAAAATTGAAATCAAAAGTCGTCTTCATTGTATTAATATAATTGCCTACCGCTGCATCCAAAATTACGAAGTATAGCATTGATATTTAAAACTTATAATTCAGCTAATTTAAGTGTTTTCAGAAGGTTTAAAAGGATGTTAATAAGGTTGGAAAACGATAAATAGGAAACAATAATGTTTATGGTTGACAAAGACCGGACCATGGATAAATAAGAATAAGTGAAAATGAAAGAGTTAATGGAACAAATGAAAAGTAAATTTTCAAGTGGACTTAAGATGACCAAGAAAAGCATAAAGAAAAGTAGGGATATCTAAGATTTAATAAAACTATTATTTACTCTTTGTAGTGCCGGCGTTGCCCGTGAAATTTTAAAAACACTAAAAAAAATTGTTAGTCTATGTTACCCCCGGGATAACAAATGATTCCCTCAAAAAATGTCAGAAAATTTGGTTTATCCGGTTGAATTAAAGATTACGATATATTCCTTGTGTACAAGATCTAGAATAAGACTGGCATCCTTTAGGTTCTTCAGTCTACCAATAGCCTGCCACAGGGTCAAATCAGTCAAAATTTAATATATTGTAAAGGAATGTGTCACAATCACAATGACCATCAAACCGTTCTCTGATATATCCTTTTTTTGCTTAGCAAAAATTGAGTTTCGGGAAACTATCTACATTGTACACTCGTGTTACCCGTGCGCGTCATCATATGACCAGACAAAGATTTTAAGCATTTCATTGTTAATTAGGCCACTTGCCACTTTCAAAACGGAAAGTCATTTTGAAATGCGTCCACTGTTTTAGAAAGTTTGAAATCTAAACATTTCTATTTTAATATTTTCTGGAAGGGAGTGTGTACGAAAAATGAAAGAATGAAAGGGAGTGTGTACGAAAAATGAAAGAATGAAAGGGAGTGTGTACGAAAAATGAAAGAATGAAAGGTGAATCAGGATAAACATGCATTGACTATATGAGTACTTGATGAGTACTTGATGTCTTCCACGGCAAGGATTCTAAAATTTTATAAAAAATAGATTATCTACGTCGGCTCTGCCTAATCTCCTGCTCCCCAATACTCTGCTTCAAATGCAGGTTTAGGTGACGAATTTGTAAATGGTATTAAAAATATGTGTTACGTACTCAAACATCAGATAAAAGCAAAGCATCATAGTTTTAATCGAGTCATTGTTTTTTTTACTTTAATAAATTTTTTTGATTTCCTTTTCTCTATTACAGGATACAAAATTTTCCAGGGCCCACTGACTTCTCTCAAGTTCCTAAAAATTAAGGGTTGTCCAGGGCTCATAAATATTTTCCTTAGTGTACATAAAAACCATTCTATTCACTCATTATTTTATAAAGGGCCGCGTGATCGTAAAGTTCTTGTTCCGATTGTCTTGTCAATTGTTTGGGATTTTTTTTAGATTCAATATAACTTCCAAGATTTCAAAATTATTATTATTATGCCAAGTGTGCTTTTATCAAACTTTGCAATATCTTATCAGAAAAAATAAAAAAACGATCCAAAAACAATCGTAACAAAACGTTCGTTTTTGCATCGTTTTTCGAACGTTTTTGGTTCGTTTTTTTGCATAATTTTTCTGTCAGAGTTAAAATTTGACATAGAAAAGTAGCAAGTGTTAAGAAAAAAAATGTAAAACATTTGCTCTTCTTTCACTATGCCAAATTTAAACTCCCAAAGAAAATATTGATAAAAAACGTTCGAAAAATGAACCACCTGAGCTGGCACATCAGATAAGTAAATCTTGTTTGTTTTCTTTAAATATTAAAACAGTTGCCAAAATTGTAAATATCACGCTCTTAAATAAATAGAAATTTTTTTCAGGAAAAAGTTATAACTAAAAAACCATTTTTGGTCCCAATTATATTTACAATAATGTTTACCTGCTGACAATATTGTTTACCTACTGACAATATTGTTTACCTACTGTCAATAATGTTTACCTGCTGACAATAATGTTTACCTTCTGACAATAATGTTTACCAGCTGACAATAATGTTTACCTGCTGACAATAATGTTTACCTGCTGACAATAATGCTTACCTACTGACAATATTGTTTACCTACTGACAATATTGTTTACCTACTGTCAATAATGTTTACCTGCTGACAATAATGTCTACCTATAACTGACAATATTGTTTATCTACTGTCAATAATGTTTACCTGCTGACAATAATGTTTACCTATAACTAAATAATGTTTACCTGATGACAATATTGTTTACCTGCTGACAATATTTTTTACCTGCTGACAATAATGTTTACCTGCTGACAATATTGTTTACCTGCTGACAGGAAAGATGAGCCGATTCCTCGATGTCTAATTGATGCTGCAGGGTTTCTTGATCGTCATACAGTTTTCTACAAGAAAAACATTTATGTACGGTTTTCTACATTAATACATTTATGTACAGTTTTCTACAAGAAATGCATTTATGTACGATTTTCTACAATTGAGAAAATTGCAACATACGACTTAGACCGTAAAAAAAATCAATTTAATTTCAAACAAATCATTCAGATATTACAACCTATAGTCATAGATTATCTTTCGCCACATTTGTATATAGTTTATAGTTTATAATATTTTCTAATTAATTTGTTTTGAATTTTATTATTTCTCTTGTCGCTTCCGCAACTATCTAAAAATGCCGCGCACCACTCACATTTTTCGAAATCCGTTAAAAACGTTTTCTAAAAAAATAAAATATAAAAATATTATAAAATATAAACTTTACACAAATGTGGCGAAAGATAATCGATGACTGTAGACGGTAATATCTGAATGTTTTGTTTGACATTAAATTGATTTTTTTACGGTCTAAGTCGTATGTTGCAATTTTCTCAATTTGTATGGACGCTAAGTTATTCGGTATGAGACGTCTTTAACAATTTTCTCCTTATAGACGCAACAGATAGAAGTAAGATTAGTAGCGATCAAAAGCGCTTTTTTATCGCATTAAGCCTATAACCCCTTTCATTTTTCGCGAACACTCCCTTTAAGTCTAAAAGTCGACTTTCTATTCCAGAATCCAGAGTTTTCAGGTTCTCACTGTATAGTGTACACTTTTAATTTACAATCTTTAAGAGAATTAATTTTTTTATTTATTTTTCTTTAATAATAAATCATTATGGAGTGCCATAGTTTAATTTTCCTATTCGTTTTCCTCTTTAAAAATAAGGGCCTAAATAATAAAGCATAGTAATAACTCTCAAATAAAATTTTGGTATAATTTTCTGATATAGTCCAGAAATACTCGGTTAAAAATAAAACATGACGAACATCTTAAATATATATAATATTTTATCATATTTTCACTAAGCAGAGAAACTTTAATAGATCTCATTAAGCTAGGATTATTCCTCCGTCTACTACAGAACTCATTAAACCAGGATTATTCCTCTGTCTACTTTAGAACTCATTAAACCAGGATTATTCCTCCGTCTACTATAGAACTCACTAAACCAGGATTATTCCTCCGTCTACTATAGACCTCATTAAACCAGGATTATTCCTCTGTCTACTTTAGAACTCATTAAACCTGGATTATTCCTCCGTCTACTATAGAACTCATTAAACCAGGATTATTCCTCCGTCTACTATAGAACTCATTAAACCAGGATTATTCCTCTGTCTACTTTAGAACTCATTAAACCTGGATTATTCCTCCGTCTACTATAGAACTCATTAAACCAGGATTATTCCTCCGTCTACTATAGAACTCATCAAACCTGGATTATTCCTCCGTCTACTATAGATCTCATTAAACCAGGATTATTCCTCCGTCTACTTTAGAACTCATTGAACCAGGATTATTCCTGCGTCTACTATAGAACTCATTGAAACAGGATTATTCCTCCGTCTACTATAGAACTCATTAAAACAGGATTATTCCTCGGTCTGCTATAGAACTCATTGAACCAGGATTATTCCTCTGTCTGCTGCAGAACTCATTAAACCAGGATTATTCCTCTGTCTACTTTAGAACTCATTAAACCAGAATTATTCCTCCGTCTACTTTAGAACTCATTAAACCAGGATTATTCCTCCTTCTACTCCTTCTACTCTCCTAAATCTACTCTCCTACTCCTACTCCTACTCCTACTCCTACTCCTACTCCTACTCCTACTCCTAAGCCTACTTCTACTCCTACTCCTACTCCTACTCCTACTCCTACTCCTACTCCAACTCCTACTCCTACTCCTTTACTCCTACTCCTACTCCTACTCCTACTCCTACTCCTACTCCTACTCCTACTCCTACTCCTACTCCTACTCCTACTCCTACTCCTACTCCTACCTGATCTCGATGTTCTTGTTCTGAATAACCATTTCCATCTCCTCAACCCTCTGGTTCTGCTGCTGAAGCTGGTGTTCCTGGGAAACCAAATCAAAATTGCAATTTAAAAAAAGCATCTTTTTGGAAAAAATATTCAAATATTCTAAAATATTTCACCAAATATGTACTCCCGAGTTCCTATTATGTAACTAACTTCTTATTCATTCTATCAATAGTTTTCTGAATTTCTAGAATTGCCGTCTTGGCATCATATTTTTGTATTGACATTTCTTAATATTTCTGGAAAATATTTAAATATTTGGTCTAAAGTTGAAATTAAAACTCAAGGTTAACTTGTTTTATATAAAGAAAGTTTTTTTGTTCGAATTAAATTTTTAAATAAATATGATATCTTTTATTGCTCATTTGAAAGTTTCCTGTGCTAGACATCGCTCCATCTCCAACATTAATGCATTATTTGCCGCCCTAAGCTGGTCAACTTCAACACGTCTCATCTCTAGAACTATCCGTAAACTTTGAACTTCTTGTTCTAGACTATTTCCCGTAAAATTGACTGTTTGAATCAGCTGTTCTTCTCGATCCTGCAAATGCGCCAAATTCCGTTTTGCTGCGGTCAGCTGTTGCCGAAGTGCATTAGCGGCATCAATCAGCTGTTTCTCCTTCTCGTGCATTAAGGTCTCCAAGGATTGTAGTTTCTCTGAATGAACTCTATCCCTCTCAGCCAGCTGCCGGCCAATTCCTTCAGCTAGAAGATTTCTTTCTTCCCGGGCTGCTTCAACATCTATTCTTGCTTCCTGCAATTGGACAAATCTAATAGCAATCAAAATAATGATAACAATATCTTAATTATTAATTATTTTTCTATCAAAAGTTAACTTTTCAAACTGGAGCTAGACTGAGTTTACCTGAGATTGTTTTATAAGAACGCGGATATATTCAACCACAGACTTCCCCGATCCGAAGTTTGCGAGTTGATCTTCCAACTCCGGGTTCTCTGAATCCGTCCTGAGCTCAGAGGAGAACTGACGGAGAAGTTCTACCAGAGCTTCATGTTGTGTTTGGATGGAACTACACTTTACTCTGTGTAGGTTTAGCTCCGTATGGTTAGACTGACACGTGGTGCAGGTTTCATCTATTCCTGAAAACAATTTACTTAATGACAACCATAAAATTAATCAAGGTTCAAGGTTCAGAAAGGCTCAAAACTCTATGATTTCATTCTTCTTTGAGTTTATCATTCTATTCCTATTACATATGAATTGGGTCAGTTCTATTCCTTTTTCCTATTCTATGAGATTACCATTCTATTTATTTTATATATATGAAATTCTGTCATTTCCATTCCTGTTCCCTATTACCCGAGTTTATCATTTTATTCCTTTAACATATATTCTTGGAGTCCGTTCCGTTCCTATTCCCTCTCTTTTGAGTTTGCTGTTCTATTTCTCTTCCCTATTCTATAAGTTTGCTGACTATAGAACTCATAAAANCCTATTCTATAAGTTTGCTGTTCTATTTCTCTTCCCTATTCCATTAGTTTGCTGTTCTATTTCTCTTCCCTATTCTATGAGTTTGCTGTTCTATTTCTCTTCCCTATTCTATGAGTTTGCCGTTCTATTTCTCTTCCCTATTCTATGAGTTTATGAATATATCGGAAATGGGTAGAACGATGAATATAAGTAATGAACGTTATTTTCCTTTTTGTTTCATCCCTGGCGGTCTGCAGTATTCCCAATACAGGGTGTTTCTCAACTCTGTGGTGTGTATGGGGGGAGGGGGGGGACAAATGGTTCTTTAACGAATTCTGTAGAAACTACATAGACATTGACATAATTTATGAACATGATAGTCAAAACTGAAATATAAACGTTTCTTCTAACCCAAAAATTACATAAAGCTTTAAATCTTAAACATATAAAAAATATATTGTATATATTGTGTGTTTTCATTATAACTTAATTTTGCATGAACTATAGGTGTGTCCTATTTAGCGCTTCCATTATAGTTCATTCCACGCAGTTCCAATTTTATATCACATATATATTGTTAAAAATCCCACCATTAGACCAAATATATTACCAAGTACAATAGGTGACAACAGAGAAATGGACCAATGATACACGACGTCACAAGTGTTAAATTAACATGAAAACTAAATTTTCTCACAATAGTTGACATGTTTTCCAAGATTCAATACAAAAGTGTAAAAACAGAAAATAAAGAACACATATAATTGCACTTATTTCCCTGTAAGATAAGCACTTTATTCTAAAATTATCATTATTGTTAATAATTTTGTCAGATACAGAAGCTGAGTTGACACTTGTGACGTCAGAATACAGAGTTGTACTGAGAGTGTACAAATTCTACGTTGCCATCTATTGTACTTGACAATCCATTTGCATTGGACTATATTAATAATATAACATTGAGAATATCATTGATTATCATGCAAACATATATTGTCTGTTTTTTTCTTTAAAATTCCTCTTATTGAAGAGGTATTGAGAAAAACAAAAATATTTTGAATTTCTGATATGTAACTGGATAATTTGTTTTCTCAAACTTGAACGATATAAATAAAAACTAGAGGAGCTAAGAGGTCGTTCCAAAATATTGCATAAATTTGACCGTCTTCTTTTGTCTTAGGTGTATGCATAGTAAATTATAAGAGCACACATTGGATAATTTATTTAAACTCGGAATTATGACAAAATTTAGGTTTCTTCATTTCCATTCAAGGTTATTAATATTGCAACAAATTCGCTTCTCTTCAAGAGAATCTTAAACTTTGACTAGACCGTAAAGTTTACTAATCTAGTACGATAAGGTCAACTGAGCAGCTGACCCCATCTAATAATAAAGGTTTGAATGGGATCGGATAGAAAGGATGAAAAGGGTCGGATACTGGTTGTGGGTTTATTTCATTACAACACGCCTGTGCTGGATAAAATTAAGATTATGGGATTAAATGTAATATGTTTGCAACATTTATGAAAAGTTGTTATGCCTATTTTGACTATTTATAGCTCTAAAATGTGGTAAAAAAGAGATATTCCAATTAGCTTTTTCCAATTTTTAAATAGAGCTATGCAAATTTATTAAGAAAAAATACTCTCAAGAACTTAAAATAAAATCCACAGATTGTGACAGAGTAGACTTGGGGAGAGAAAATACTATTAAATAATGTAGAGGACAGAACAGTGACACCCCTCCCCCCCCCTCAATTTGCCCTGACTGGGACATGGCCATGTTTGCAGACCTTTTTAAAATTTAACAATTTTAGCTTCCTAAGTTCCTCTGCTAAATTAATTATACTATTTTGCAGCTTTATCTAACCTTTGAACCATATCACTGGTTGTAACTAGAGATTGGCGTGTTTGGCTTTTTTCATTCGTTCCTTCATCGTTCGTGAACTATGTCTTGAACTTCATCGTTCATTTTCTCAATGAACGATCGTTCAGTAAAATCTTCCGTTCAATAAAAACGTTCTTTCAAGTAAAATCGTTCATTTAGTAAAAAAAAAGATTTTTATTTAAAAAGTTTGTCGGAAAAAATTGGGGCTAACCCAATGGTTTTTTTTTGAAAATTTGTTCCAAAACTTATTCGTTCTGTAAAAAAAAGTTTTTATTAAACTCTTTTGAAAAATTCGTTTGTTCAGTAAAAAAAACTATTGTTTTTTTTTCTTTCGTTTTTTAAAACAACTGTTTTTTCATTTCTTTGAGCGATCCAAGTCGTTCGTCCATCGTTCGTTTTTTTCTGAACTCAAATATTTCGTTCATTAAGAAAAATGATGCCAATCTCTAGTTGTATATACAGTTGAGAATACTAATTGTAAGTATATGTATAATTTGTATATATACATACAACAAAACTAATGACTTACCAAGTAATTAATGAGAAGGGTAATTAAAGTCAGGTCTTGTATAATCATTAGTCAAGTTTAGGTTGCTAAGATAAAAAACGTATGGTTGGATATCACGCTATCCTTATATAAAAAAATTCGAATATTAAAAGTAGGGGGTACGAAAAATGTACAATAACATATTTGCGAGACGAATGATATTCATATGATTTTTTGCGAAAAAAAAATATTTCTGTGCACGAAAAACATCCGAAAATGCGCAATAGTAACAATGAAATTCCGTGTTTAGTGACCCCTACCACGATTTGTTTCTAGTGTCATCTGACCAAATCAAAATCAATGAAAATTTGGCCCATTAAAGAAATGGATATATTAAAAACCGGGTTGGATTAATTTATAATTTATATTCAAAATTGATATTTTGGCCTAAAAAAACTAAATATATTTTTTAATTCTGAATCTTACCTCCATCTTTTCTCTTCTCAGTTTTCCCATTCTCCTTCTTCTGTTTCCCTTTTTGCCGTCTTGACCTGACAAAAACAAGTTTTGTTTTTATTACATTCAATATCTATTTTACTTTCGATACACTATTTGAAATATTTTAGTTTAAGGTATTATATGAACTATAGGCTTTTAGGGTCCTTTTAATGGAAATCAGGAAACATGAAAGTTCGTGGATAGATGGATTTCTAAAAGTGTTAAAAACGACATTTTTTCGAGGCAAAATTTTTCTATTACGACTTGAAATAAACCTGCCCATGGGCCATGTGAGTTATTTGCCACGACAAATATGGGCCCAACCGTTCAGCTTTTTTTACGCTTACTGGACAACAAATTAACAGACAAGCCAGATAAAATTTAGATTGAATAAATTGATGATATTCCAAAAAACATGGGCCTCAAATTCCTCAAATTACAATGCCAAACATCTAGTTTTAAAAACTGATGATCGATAACACACACGAACTCGCGTATACGCAAACGTTATATTTGTAAACACAACCAATTTCAACCCACTGCACACTGGGCAGAACATAAAGGAAACATAAACATTCAATGTTAAAAATTGTTTACACTCAATCAACTAACGGATACTAAGCAGTGTGTTTGTGTAGGCAGTGGGGAGTAGACATTTGAGGGTTTTTTAAAATTTGAAATAAGTATTTGCGAACAAAAATTAACTAAAAAAGCATAAGTAAAATAAACCCTTACTGGATAAAATGAGTTTCATGTTATTTTTTTTTACTCCGAATGGGAATCCAAGGAACTTCAAGGAGCTCAGGAACTCAGGGAATTCAAGTAATTCAAGAAGCTCAAGGAACTCAAAGAACTCAAGGAATTCAAGGAATTCAAGGAACCAAAGAACTCAAGGAACTCAAGGAATTCAAGGAATTCAAGGCACTCACGGAATTCAAGGAACTCAAGGAACTGAAGTAACTCAAGAAATTCAAGTAATTCAAGGAATTAAAAGAACTCAAGGAATTAAAGGAACTCAAGGAATCCAAGAAATTAAAGGTATTCAAGGAACTAAAAGAAATCAAGGAACTAAAAGAAATTAAGGAACTCTAGGAACTCTAGGAACTCAAGGAACGGAAGGAATTCAAGAAATTAAAGGTATTTAAGGAACTAAAAGAACTCAAGGAACTCTTGACATTTAAGTAGTAGCTTATTTGACTCTGGTTTAAGATGAAATAAAGCCCCATTTGAATATAACTTAAACACCTGATGCACCTTGCAATAATTCTAATAGGCAAACAGTAAAAGTGTTTCTACATCGTCTACCCAGCTTTAATAACAATGCTATAGGTGAGGGGTAAAAATGCTGTAGGTGAGGGGTAAAAATGCTATAGGTGAGGGGTAAACATTCTATAAACAAATTCTGAAAGGAGAGTAAGTGCACACAGTTTTAGTAACGAAGAATATACCAGGAAATATGTAAAGCTTTAACCCTAAGTAGATTTGGGGGGGGGGGGGTATAACGTTTTGGTTTGTAAGTTTTAGATCTAAAACTTTTTTAAAAGGCCCATGAAAAATGGATACAAAACGTGTGTCACATTTGTGGAAATTTAACTATTCCTTTTTCTGTGGGTTAAACGAATGCTCATAGAAGAATAGACAATATGATAAAATGAGTAAAATATTCAACTGATGCTAATAATCTGGATTCAATCAGATCCATTTATAAACCATGTTTCTTTCTTTGTAATTTGTGTTAAGGCAATTATTCAGAAATGAAATGCTAAGAAAGGATTCAAGCTAATTGGATCCTTTATTTATCCTTATATCATGCAACCTTATGATGTAAACAATACTTCTAGCTTAGACGATTTGATCTTATAGAACATATGCATATTAAGAAATATCAAAGGTCTACAACATCATGTTGCAAAAATACATGGATTAGAAAATTTGAATTTTTGACGATTGTTCCATTCCTTTGCTAACTTTAATTTGACAGAATTCAAATCTTGTTTTTAGGAATCCTAAATCTACAGGAGTAACTCCAGGTTGCAAAATAAGGAAAGATTGCAGAAATTGTTAAACTTCGCTAATCTACTCAAAACAACTTTGCAAGGAAAATGTCTGCTAAACATTTACAGTATACAAATATATATATATTTTTTTAATATATTTTTGCTTGTTGTTGCGATTAAAGATTAATAAGTACGCACAAATTACGACCTGGAAATATGACGATTTAAATCTTTAATTTGGTCTTCTAGAGTTTATAAGATGTAAAAAATGATTTGGCAAAAAAAAACAAGTTAACAGCTGTGAGGAACTATGAATATAGTTATAGTTATAGTATTTATTTTCAAACACAAAATACAAAATAATATTGCATGATGGTTCAGCTTAAAATAAAACACAAAAGAAAATTTATTATGAGCCAATTAAAAATATATTGTTTGATAATTTTGTTTTGATCGTATTTGTTGAAACATATAGTATACATATTGAAAACTCAACTAAGAATACATTCATTGTGCATTTACAAGTAGATAATTAGTCAAAACATTTTCAGGAATGCATTCATTGAACTTATTAATACATATTGATTCAACAAAAGTAGCAATGTATTCTCGTTGACTGTAGTATACAGGGTGGCCCACAAAGGAGCAGACTTTGATAACCCTTTCTCCGATAACGACCCAAAACGCTTTAAGTTTGAGATATAAATGTCAGAATTGGTGTTTTCCAAATAGATTCTAGTACAATAGATGGCAACGTAGTGTCAACTCAGTTTTTTTCTGACAAAATTATTAATAATAGTGATAATTTTTGAACAAACTAAACACAATTTTGTTTTCTTTGGTTTCTGTTTTTACACTTTTTTATTTATTCTTTGAAAACATATCAACTAATATGAGAAAATTTCGTTTTCCTTGTTAAATTTGACACTTCTGACGTCATGAATAAATACTTAATTTCTCTGTTGCCACCTATTGTACTTGATAATCTATTTGGTATTTTCTTTTAATTATATTTATAGACGGTTTGTTAAAAATGAATAAGGGAAGGACTGAAGTGAAAATTGACTGAATATACTTCTTATAAAGTTTCATCCTATTTGTGTAACCTGATGAGAAAAATAAGGACTGAACTCAGTCCTTATTGGATAAATATTAAATATTAAAATAAAATAAAATAGAACAAAATCATTTACTTAAAAGTTATGCATTACTTACCGTGTAAATACTTCGTAACATTTAAAAAAAACTTTTTTCTGTTTTAAAAATATGTAAAAATGTTTATAATGTTTTCTTATTTATTTATCTAGAACTTTAGAAGCTTTAGATTTTAAGAGAAGAAAACAAGCATTGAACTGAGGATGGGGGGGAGTAAAGCTTATTCATGAGGGAGGAGTAAAGCTTACGGAGGGAGGGGGGAGTAAAAATTATGGAGAGGGGGGGGAGTAAAGATTATGGAGAGAGGAGGGTAAAAATTATGGATGGAGGGGGGGATGGCTGTGTTTTATACAAGCTGTTGTTCCTTTACACCGTAAAAGTTGAATTTATTCTAAATTAAGAAAATGAGTTTTAAATATTTTCTTTCCCCGACTTAGGAAATTGTTTAATCAAAGTTTGAAAAATTTTATAATTTTATAAACTGTTCTCAACCTTTCTATTCTTTGCTGATATAAACAAAATATAAACTAAATATAAAGAATTATTGAACGATTGTATTGAATCAAGAAAATATTTTATCATCAAAAGATAAAAATCATGGTTATTGACATCACATTTCATCACGAATATTAATCAAGACAAATCCTCGTATTATCCCTGTAGTATTCCTTCTGTAAGCTGTTTATTTCTAGAAATTAGTTTTTTTCTAGCGTTTACTGTATATATCTAGAAAATTACATTTTTATTGTTCCCCTCTGTAAACTTTATGTATATAAAAAAATTAAATTTTTATTGTTCCCCCCTGTATTTATCTAGAATCTGGATACGCCCTCTACCTTATTACCAATTTGCAAATCATAAAACCATCTGATTTTACAAATATGGATTATAGAATGGGTGGATTATGGAATGGATGAATTATAGGATGGATAGATTATGTATTATGGAATGGAATGGATGGATTATAGGATGGATAGATTATGGCTTATGGAATGGATAGATTATGGATTATGGAATTTGTGGATTATGGAACGGATAGATTATGGAAAGGATGGATTATGAAAAGGATGGGTTATGAAATGAATGGATTATGGAATGGATAGATTATGTAATGGATGTATCATGGAAAAGATGGAATATAAATGGATGGATTATGGAATGGGTTCGATTATGGAATGGATTGATTATGGAATTGGTGGATTATGGAATGGATAGATTATAGGATGGATGTTTTACGGAATGGATGTTTTACATACATTTCTACATATGCCTTCTGAATAAAACCAGCCCGTGATCCCCTTTTTTCATATTTGGTGTCTCCCCATAATCATGTCCGTTGACTGGCGTCTTCAAGGTCGTCTTTGATCTCAAAGGATTTATAATTATCCGATCATACTGAAATTAATATCACAATGTCTCTAGGATGTCAGGTCTACAGGGTTTAAATGTTATCGGATTTGGTCCGTCCTGCTCTGAATGACAGCTCTTTATCTTTACATATTTAAAGGATTTTCTTGAAATTTTAATTCAGATTCTTGAGATATTAATTTTGGCCGTAAGTAATAAAATATTGAGGAACCCTACTATAAAATATTTTCTTTCTATTCTTTAAAATCTTTAAAATATTTTGATTTTGATTTTGAGTAAATAAATGTTAGATTGTTGGGCGGATTTTAGTGTTTTCCTGTATTTAACATTGCATTCAACTAACTCTTTTACAATTTAAATCATTTGTTTAGCTTTTCAACTATCCAACTATTCAACTATCAAACTATCCAACTATTCAACTATCCAACTATATAACTATTCAACTATCCACCTATTCAACTATCCAACTATTCAACTATCCAACTATCTAACTATTCAACTATCCAACTATTCAACTATCCAACTATTCAACTATTCAACTATCCAACTATCCAACTATCCAACTATCCAACTATTCAACTATCCAACTATTCAACTATTCAACTATCAAACTATCCAACTATTCAACTATCCAACTATCTAACTATTCAACTATCCAACTATTCAACTATCCAACTATTCAACTATCCAACTATCCAACTATTCAACTATCCAACTATCCAACTATCAAACTATCCAACTATCCAACTATCCAACTATCCAACTATCTAACTATTCAACTATCCAACTATTCAACTATCCAACTATCCAACTATCCAACTATCCAACTATCCAACTATCCAACTATCCAACTATCCAACTATCCAACTATCCAACTATCCAACTATCCAACTATCCAACTATCCAACTATCAAACTTTCCAACTATCTGACCATCTAACCATCTAACTATCCAACTATCTAACTATTTATCTCTCCAACTATCAAACTATACAACTATCCAAATATCTAACTATCTAACTATTCAACTAACCAACTATCCAACTATTCAACTTTCTGCCCATCTCCTAACTATCCAATTATTCAACTATCGAACTATCCAACTATCTGACTATACAACTATCAAAATATCAAACTATCCAACTAACTTTCTGACCATCCATCTGACTATCTATCCATCCAACCATTATTCTACCAACCATTGATCTTCAATATGACATGACTTATAATTTTATTTTATTTATATTTTATTTATATTTTATTTGTATGTCCCAGATATATCGATATAAACTCGATCTGTTGGTCAAAAGTCATCCAAAAAATAAAGTATTTAAATATATTTACAATGAAAACCAGAACACGGTGGAGTAGGAAGACAACATTATAGCATTTCTTTGGCATATTTGATGTTTAAACATAGTAAAGTCAGGACTTGAGTCTAAAAGTCGTCTTCTTATTTCACAGGTTTCTGGTTTTCACTGTATCAAAATGTATAAAACCGAAAACAGATAAATAAAAAGTCTTCAAACGGGTTAAAAAAGGGTTCGAAAATAAACTCAAGCTGATTATAAATCAGGACATTCGAATCATCGTGAAACATGAAACATGTTTGATTACAACAAATTCTAATTTGAAGTTGCGTGTTTAGATAATTGAGAATAAAATTGACTAAAATTAACAATTAAGTAACAGTTATATATTTATATTCAATATTTATAATTGGGGTGTACGTCTAGCTGTTGTCTTGTTTGTTGGTTTGTTCGTAACTAATAAACGTCGAAACGATTAAACTAATCAGGTCGAGATAAAACTAATCGGGTCGAGATTAAACTAATCGGGTCGAGATTAAACTAATCGGGTCGAGATTAAACTAATCGGGTCGAGATTAAACTAATCGGGTCGAGATTTTTGTCGAACCTCATCTGACCCCAAAGCCTGACCCCCGGGTTATTTAAGTTAAAATAATGTTTATTCACCAAATATATGTTTGCTATTAGTAATAACTAATAATGTTACTAAGAACCTAACCAATAAAAAATTACTCTGTTGTTGGCTTGAAATTATTTGAATTACAGTCCAATAAAATTATCAGTGCGAGATAGGGGAAATCTTCTAAAGTTCCCTTATTATGATTATAAATAGTAGATGATTTTAATAAATTACGACAGTTTGCAATCAGATGCTAGGCCCTTCTAACTGCAGTGCTCGGCCTCCCTAGCCCATCTTTCCACAGCGCTCGGCGCTCATTGCAGTCAGCGGCGCCTCAGAAGGCCTAACCTAACCTTGGGAAGTTGCCGCTTGGGAAATTGCACATTTGGGAAGTTGCCGCTTGGGAAATTACACATTTGGGAAGTTGGCACTTGAGAAGTCGTCCTTTTGTACTTTCAGTGAGACCGATTCAAGTATTAATGTTGTGATATGCAGTGGTAGGCCGTTAAATCAATACAATAAAAACGACTTTCTATTTCAATTTTGATTTATATCAAGCTGTTAAACAGCATGTATACGCGTAAACAGAAGTCAAGAGAAGCTGCCAATACAAAAAGCATCTCTTTAATTACGTGTAGACTTGTAGTTCCAAAAAAAGCTTGTTAACAATCAAAACTTTAATAAAAATGTCGTCTTCATTGTTTTATATAATTGCCTCACACTTCGTAACAAATAATTCGAACAATAGAAATCAACATATAAAGTTAATGGAACCGATCAACTTATATATTTAAAGATAAATAAACAGATGAACAATAGGCAGATGTTTATGAAGTATCTACTGTACTGTGTAAAATACAATTTTTTAATGATTTCATGTTTTTAATGTGTTTTTTTTAACCTACTTGATAAGTTGAATGGACCAGTCTGCTAAAAGTAGGCCCATAGATCCCATCTTTTCTGACCTATCAAAAATTACTTTATAATAACAATAATTATTCGGTCCAGCGTTTGGCCGGCAATACGCAACATATATATGAATGTCTTGTTTTATTACATTGATAATAACAATAATATATTATGATAATAATGAAAATAATAAATAGTAATGATAATAATAAAAATAATAATAATAATAATAATAATAATGATAATAATAATAATAATTGTAATGAAAAAAACCTTCAGATGAAGTTCTTCTGTGCTCAAAATCTCACTGAATCACCGTTTAGTTAAGGAATGAAGAGTTGTAAGTGTGTTTATTATTTAATGAATAATTATTTAATTAATTAAAAAACTTGAAGGTTCACTGTGTAAATCAGCCTCCTATCTCACAAAACAACAAATGTTTTTTTTGATGATTTAGCGTGACTGCTGAAATGATGACTTCCTCTATCCGATGTACGAATTGTACAAATTGTACGGATTGTACAGAATGTACAGAAAGTACACAGATGTACACGGTTTGAGGACTCAAGTTACACTGTCTGTTGCGTGTTGCCTGCACCCAATACTCGGCCATATTCTCTGTGTTTACGCACACCCAATCCAGCGTACACCTGCATGCGTCAGACTCTTTTTAATCTTCCCGCTGGGACTCCGTGGACTGCATCAGTGCGGATTTGCGGAGATCACGTTTTTCACGCGGTTTCGTGGATTTATGCACAGTCATTCATGAAATCAAATATTCACTTTAGTCAGGAAAATTAAAGGAAATAATCGAGTATAAATTTCAAATGTCGAAAATCAACAATCAACATGCACATTAGTATTTTTTAAAAAAAAAACTATAGAAATTCCAAATTGATATTTTAGATTACATGCTTAAGATCTTGACAATTCAGCCAAACTTGGATAGCTTGTTTTCTTCCATTTGGCTTGAAAAACTATTATATTTTTCCGGAATTGATCTCTGTTGTTTGCTACTTACTGTTCGGTGTATTTATTTGAAATATTTGAATATGCAATATTGAAAAAAAGACTTAACTTTTTGGACTTTTTCAAACAATTTCTGGCTTCCATTTCAACTTGATTCGGCATCAAAAGAACTAAGATCTGGCTAAAAACTCAAATTTTCTAATCTTTGCAACCTTATTTCGTAGACATAGAGAATAGAATATATATTAGAGGGGAATTTCAAGAATCTCTCGGTATGAATTTTTTTAGTCCCTTCCAGCCTGAAAGGGAGTTAAAAGTGTACAAATCATGTAAATGTTCACAAATTATATGCAGTAGAGTATATTAATACAGTATGTTTCCTAGACTATTCAAATTATGAAATTGTCAGGTCAAATTTTATTCTATTTTACACAACCAGGTTCCAAAGATATAGGGATTAGAAAACTAGAGTTTGTACGTAGTGTTCAATTTTTCTAATCCCTTTACCTTTGCAACCTGATATCGGAGACCTTATATTTTTCTGACTATGAATTCTGTCAGGTCATATATTATTCTGTTCCACACCATCAGGTTCTAAAGATATGGGAATTATAAGATTAGAGTTTTTGGCTAGTGTTCCGTATCTTTTTCTAACTAAAGTGAACTCATTCATCAGTTTGTCTGTCTGCCTACTTATGATTCCCAATCTTTTAACAAATCTAGATTGTATTTAGGGCGTGTATAGTCAAGTAGAACTTCTACAAACTTTTATTAATTTCAACGCTGTAATCATACAGGGTGTACCACGAAACATGACATATTGGCGAATAGTTTAGAATGTCATCTTCCATAATTTGTTAAGAGCATAACAAAAATATTATATGACAGTTGTATACTATAAGTAAAACTTTTTTCAAAGTAAAATATATTTAAGTAAAAGATTGTGTTGACGAAATAAACTGCATAAAGTCTTACATATCTATAAATACAGTATATATGGAAGAAGACATTCAAAACTATTCGCCAACTGTATTATTTCATGGAACACCCTGTAGATAAGCTCAATATTCATCTCAGTTTTGAACATTTTATTGAAATTTCGAAATTTTTATCAAAATTATTTCTATCAAAAGAAGAATGTTTTTGGTGGGCAAATTATTTTTATAACAGAAAGGTTTCAAAAATATAGTTACGGAGCAAAAAGTAAAAATCACGACGAATTTACACTTAATTATGTGTCTAATTATTTAAGCCCAATTTTTACAAACTGGTTATATAAAAATATATGGTCCTCCTTATAACAGACAATAAATAGCACTATACTACTTTTCCTGAATCCTACGCTCAAATTTTTTGAATAGTGAGAAGTATTTAAACTAGGAAAAGGTAGTTGAACTACTTTTCTATGAGCGTGGCCGAGAGGAAACCAGACATTTAATTGAATCCTCCACCCACGTTAAAATAAAGTGAATTCCACGTAAAATTGATCTTATGTTTTAAATCAGACTTCTATAATCAAAGCGCAATGGAGAAGAACAAACCTGTGTTGGATTTCTAGATCTTTCTTTAAAGAAGTAGGAGAGACATACACCTCTGCCCCTTTAGTAAACAGTAAATTCAACATATATCAAGCATAAAGTCTGACCGCGTCATCCTTGTTGCACCGGCTAGTCCTGTTGAATGTCTGCCTAATTAAGCCAATGTTCGTGCGGTACAGTGCAAACTGGGACCGGAAAGGTTGACCCGGCTTGGAAATTCAAATGTACTACGGCTGCCTGTGGAGAATTTGACATCGTATCTGCACTGATTTCTGGTATTTACTGCAATTTTTAAAAATGAAATATGCAAAATTGACTTTTTTTCTACAAACTTTGATTTTCTATTTTCTTAATTCATGTTTGCAACCAAATGTCGTAAACCTTAGATATTTCAAACTATGAACTATGATATAAGTTTAAAATATACAAGGTTTCAAAGATATTAGGAATTACAAATTTCAGTTTGTAGCAAAGAGTTTCAACTATATGATAAGGACACTTAATTTGAATTTTTTTTATGTTTTTAATAGTTTTAAGTGTTTAATCACAAAGTTTTTTTTTAAAATAAAGACAACCGTTGTATTGGGATTAATTATTTCTCTTTTATATCTCTGATTCCTTCTGAAATTGTTTCCATTGTAAACCCAAAATTAGAGCTAGGATTGTGGATTTGGGGAGGCAGATAGGCGAGGGCCTTAATCCATCTTTATAAAGCAGTTATCTCTGTTTGTCATAACTCATAAACCCCCTGATTGATCCACCTAAAATGTTGATTTGATGGGTAACCAAACTATAATCAGTAAAATTTTAATAAAGACTAGAGATAATATTTTCTGTCTCTGCGGCTATTCATATTTTATAAATCATCTTTTTCTATAAATATTGATTCTTTACATTCTCCCTCTATCCAGGGTGGAATGGGGAATGACCCCCCCCCCCTTAAGCTGCATATGCCTCAAAATTAAAGGTGAATCGTTATACTTAGAGTTAAAATCTCGTTGCCTCTGATAAAATCTGGCAATTGGGAGTAGAAGGACTGGTCTTTAATGATGCCAGTTAAAGACGAATCAGGTTTACATTATTTAAATCTAAATAACGAAGCTTGAGTTCCAGTAAAAAGTTGCGAGGTTTAAAGGGACTGAAATAGGGTTTCCAGCGAAAAAAGAAAATCGTTTCGCGAAAATTTCCGCTTTTTTCGCGAAATTTCGCTTCAATCTGTTTCGCGAAAAAATGCGAAAATTTCGTTAAACAAATAATGCGAAAATTTCGCGAAGTAATTCGGAATTAAAAAAAAAAAATGCAAAATGTTGGAGAAAATTCATTTTAAAAGGCAAAATTCAGCTATGTTTTCGCGAAAAAGTTTGTAAATATTGACATATTGTATATTAATTTTTCAATTTTTCAATTCGACATATTACATATAAATTTTTCAATTCGACATATTATATATAATTTTTTCAATTCGACATATTATACATAATTTTTTCAATTCTACATATTATATATAAATTTTTCATTTTTATTTTCTATTATTTTTGTCCTCTGATCTTTTTAGATGAAAAAGTACAGTAATACAAATCTTAAGGATTGTTATAAACCAAAACGCATTTAAATTCAAATTTAAGAAAGCGAACGCATCTATAAGTCCTGGTTATTCCAGGTAAGTACCCCCCCCCCCTTCCCTTGTCTATTTGTGTACCCTAACTTAACACACACCTCTGCCCCTTTAGTAAAAGTAAATTCAATCTATTTGAAGCATAAAGTCTGACCGCGTAAACCTTGTTACACTGGCAAGTTCTGTCCATAGAGCTAGGTACAGTACAAACTGGGACCGGATAGGTTGACCCGGCTCGGAAATTCATATGTACTACGGCTGCCCGTGTTAAATATAAAATGCGTATGTTTTATCTAAGTAAATAAATCTAAGGCAACTTTTTATAAAAATCAATCAGTATGCGACCAATCCAGTTTTTAGATTATTTTTGTTATCTTTGTTGGCACAAAGATCTTATAATGATGTTTATATTTTTTAGAGAAGTCTACGCTCATATATTTATATTTGTATGTACAGAGTCTAAAACTAAAGAATGCGCGAATTTTAAGTTCGAGGTTAAAAGTTCTGTAAAATAATGAGTAGCTACTTAAATATTAAACTTTCTCAATTTTAAATTTGAATTTCCCGGGAAAATCTGAACCAATCAGAGAAAAGGATTTACGGAGAATATTACATAACCATCCCTAATCAGCTGATTACGTAACCGAAAACAAAACATATTTCGAGTTACAACCGTATTTTGGGTTTACATGCAAAAATTAATTAATCTAAAACGTGAAATTTCTTTAACAAGGTTTTCACGTTTAAATATATCGTAAAGTTGAATGCTGCTTTCTCAGCTGAATGATGATTGAATAATAGACAAATAGGGAAAATGCAGGATTTCAAGATTTTAACCCTGTGTTTAAATTTTAACTCGTCGATTTCGGCGAGTTAAATATTTAACCACATGGTTAAATATTATAACCTCACGGTTAAAGTTCAGGTTTAAATTAAGTCAGAAGTGGCATTTAACCATGAACTCAAAATTTAAGTCAAAACTTTTCGTTCTTTAGTTTTAGACTCTGGTATATATGTTTATAGCTATGCTGACCATTGGCTGAACCGAATTGGCTGAAATTCGGGTATCCTAGGGCTAACATATGCTAAAAAATCAAATTATTTTTCAATATTCCATTTTTTAATTCCACGGGCAACTCAGGGCGCTTTAGCTAGTTTCTAATTTTTCTTAATCTAATTATTTACATGTCTGAAACACGATACATAAAGTTCAAATTGCAATGATATAATATCAGATTTATATTGGATCAATATCCTTTGTTACCTCTGCTTCCAAAACCCGCAGGTCACTTTTAAAGAGAAAATGTAATTTCAAATTGTCTATTTTTAGATGGAACTTGGGAAAACAGAGATATTTCATTTTCGCTCAAAAATTGGTTTAAAGGATTTGTTGTAATTGTGACTATGTAAAAGAAGGGTCTGCCGATAGTCCCTTTATGTCGAAATAAATATTCAAATATCTATATTATATAAACTTTGCAAGTCTGTCTGTTTGCTTGTATCCAATAAACGTCAAAACGGCTGAACCAATCTGACCCAATTTTTTTGTAGAACCTTACATGACCACAGAAAAGGTTTATGGATGATCAGAATTTAAAAGTCCAAATCGAAGCCTAGTCATCTAATATTTTGGTAGAAATGACGTGTAAACGAATATTCGGACATGCCTTCTTTTGTAATCATGGTGTTCTGACAATATGCCCGGGGACTCTTTATATTTAGGGAATATATAGGGGTGCACCATAAGTCAGACTTCCCAGATCTTGGTTTAGATTAAAATACTGGAAAAATACAGGATTTTTAACATGTATTACACCAGCTCTGTCGTTGTTGTTACAAACCTCTTTTGAAATGAACAAAGGTAAACTTTATGCGACATCATTGGTACGACTTTGTGACCCCGTAGCTCGTCTAGTTTGGATTTTACGCACAAGGAGAAATTCAATTTTTATTCGGTTACTTATTAGAAGTTCAAAAAAATATCTTCTTTATATACTTTTCACGAAGAAGAGTTATAATTGAAAACATATAGGATTTAAATCTTACGTTATATTAATACAGAAAAACATTAGATTGTTTGATTCTAAATTGTAATTTTTAAACGTGTCATTAAAATTGTCTTCTGAGTATGCAAATTATGACCATACAGGGTTACCCACCAAGGATAATACTTCAGAGACGACTGTACGGAATTTATTCGTTCTTTTTTCTTTAACATCTATAAGTACCCTGCAGCTGCGCACTGGTTTCTATCTTTGCCAGATCATTAAAAATACCATTTAAAAATTGTAAAAATAAAAACCTTCAGACGGTCATATTTAAACTGTTTCAGGTCGTCATCAAATCATAAACTTTGTGTGTAACCCTCTAGAAAACGTCGATACATTCATGTTTACAAAAAAATTGCAATATTTACAACCAAAAAGATGATAAAAGAGCAAAAAATGCATTCATGGGTTTATTTTAAATTTAAAAATAAAGATGAAAGTAGAGCATATGATCAAAGTGTGTCCCCAGGGTACAAAGGAAGGAAAATAATAAAAAATATTTAAAATCCAGGTTTAGAGAGATAAATATACTGCTATACTCGTAAAGTACCATTATATACGAGCTAAAGGACTAGGTCAATATTTTTAGTCATAGTTATTCCAGCCGTTTACCCGCGCTTGGTTTAAGATTATGATTTTAGCTGAAATGGCCGGCGTTGCCCATAGAATTTCTAAAATTTTCGACATTTTTTATTCTTATCATTTCCTGGAATTCTCATGGGTTTCCTAAAAAAAATCTGCCATTTTGGTCCATGTCAAAGATCTGTAAAAAGTATATATATGTATCTCTATACACTGTCCATTTAATATTTAGCAACAGAATTAAAGGATTTATATTTAAAACGATTCTTATGGTTGGGTACTGTGATCTTGCTAGGCTGCGTTTGATGTATAAAACGTGCTGGGTCAACTCTACACTGGGTAGACCAGACTAGAGAGTATACGACTAAATGTTGTACTGGCTCAGATCATACAACTCTACACTGGGTAGTCCAGACTTGTATTGAGAGGAATCAGTTTCAGGTTTCCTTTCAATAAGACCCAGACAACAAGTTTTGTCGATGGGTAGACTTGTGAAAGTAATGTGCAAGTTTTCTTTAAAGATGTTTATTTTCACTCTTCTCATTTACACAAACACTCGTCTAAAAGCACATAACTGAAATATACAAAATAGTTAAAATATATATCTTGATAAATATGCATACACTTATGCATACAATCTAAAGGTTATTTAAGGTTTACAACTATTACCTTTTTATATTGATAAATTCATCTTGGAAACTGTCTCCACACCTGTGAAAGGTGCGGAGTTTAAATGGAAACTA